GGGGCACCCGTGGGCGCGCCCCCACCTTGTGCCCCGGGGGCTGCAGCGCACCAGGGAGCGTGGTGCAGAACAACTCGCCCGTGTGCGGGTTTCACGCAAGCAGCGAGAGCTGAAAGCTGCAGAAATTCCGCACCCGTGCTGACAGGCAGGCGAAGAGGGTTTGTAGGCGGCACATGAAGAGAGAGATCATCTAGTCCCCCGCTTATCGTTCCAGGTTGTTCTGAAGTTTGGTAAATACATGGTAAATACAAATGCATGGCTTTTAACCCTGCCTGTGTTGTTTCAAATCAGTAGCTGAGAAGGCAGAAGGGTCTCTAGCCGGGACTTTGGTCTTTGTTTGCGAGGGGAACCTGCTTTGTGTGAATTATTCATCATGATTGCCTATTTCCAAACAGCTCCGCGGGGAGTCTCCGAAATGCAGTCAGGTCTGGCTAGTGCCTACGAAGAAGCGACGCCCGGAGCTGGTGATAGTTCAGGCATAATTTTAAGTTCCCCATTCGCCTCTCCACGGGGAACACTGGGACCGGGATGGAGCTTAATGGGGGGAGAGGCCCGGGGACGGGGAGCGTTTTTTTCGCCTTAAGCTCAGGAAACCTGCCGATTTCTTTGTGATCTACCTACTCTCCTTGTGCCGTCCCGAAAACAGGAGTAACAAAAAAATATAGGCGTCTTGTTGTGCAATGCCGAAACTAGTGGGAGAGAAGTCCTGGTAAAATGGAGGGAAAGTAGTGGCTGTTTTTTATAGTCCAAGTGTATAATCGGATTTTTTTTTTCTGTCCTGATAGAAAGCAGATAAATTTAGGAAGGGAGAGCTAAGAGAATAATTACAGGGTGAAGGTAGTTAAATTTTATTTCGAGTCCCAAAGGCAAAACCTGACATTTTATTGCGAACATCTGGAAGACTTAAGAGACTGGCATGGTGTTTGTTTAAACACTAATAGAGATTTTTATTCTGTAAAACACAAACAAAGCCCATTTAAAAACACTTCAGACTGTAAATATTTTGCGGTGGTTCAATTCTCAAAGCCTGAGAAAAACGGGAGAAGGGGAGGGGGAAGGAATCGACAGCATAATTAGGGTATAATTATGAATTAGTTAATATACGCAACAATACCGTTTGTGCAGACCATAAAAATAAATTGCAGGCGTGTTTTTTTTTCCCGCGGTCACAATAACTGACCCCGCGCAGCACGGGAACATCACCTTGCTCTTGTTTCCAAGCGGCGACTTGCGTTCACTTTAAACTTGCCTCTTAAGAGAGAGCCAACCTCGAAATCCTCCGGTCTGTTTTAAAAGATAATCGACGCTGCATTAAAGTCCAGTAAATCACTCGCTCACATTATCAGACATCCTTCAACCCGCACCCACTGACTGGTTTTAACGTTGTTTTCAACTACTAACTTTAAAAAAAGAAATAATAATAATAAATCCCCGGGTTAGGTCTGGATAAAGGACCTTCGGAAAGGTTTTCCTTGCTGTGAAGCAGGGTTTGAAACTGACTCAGCCCCTGTGAACAGCACATCTGGACAGCACTCCCGCCCCGCAACCGGCTCCTCTTATTTCCTTTTTTTCCCCCCTCCAAATATTTCCATATATAAACAAATATTTTTCAGGCTCGCTCTGCTGCAACTGGAAAGCAGGAGTGAATGATTTCTTTATAAACCCGGGGACCTGGCCCTGCGACCCTTGCTCCTGCCACTTTATTCCAGGGAGCAGTTTCCTGGATTTAATGGGAGCTACCCCTGCAAGTAAGAGTCTGGAATAAAGACCAGGCAAAGGGACGCATTCATCTCTGGCTGCCGGGGGTCGGAGTCGGATCTGAATCCAGATTAAGCCCAGGCCTCTGGTAGACTCCAGGTTTACACCGCTTGCCGCGGGGAGAGAAGAACTTGGCCCCGGTGCCGCTCCGGCTGAGGGGAGCACGGGGACCGGATGCCGGCTGTGCCGCACGTATGCGTTTTGCTCAGCCGGATTTTGGTGCAAAGGCTCAACCGAAATCTCATTCCCCGGCTTGGGGAGAGGGGGTTAGTTCTGGGCGAGCTTTCTCAGCCCGGGGAGCAGCGAACCCTGCGGGGGGGCAGCGTTGGCTCTCGGTCCCCCCCGCCCCCTCATCCCCATCCCTCCCCTTTCCCCCGGCACATCCTCGTGGGGCCGCAAGGCCGCTGCAGGGGCTGCCCTCTCCCTCCGCTCGTACAGCGGAGCAGCAATGCCTTTGTGCTTACCGCTTTTGCACCGCCCGGCGCGGACGGGCAGAGAGAGGGCGAGCTGTCCTAAACCTCCCGGGCACCAGGGTAGGGACAGGGAGGAGGGGGGAGAGAAGCAGTCGCCGGCCACCGTGTGTCCCCGCGATCCCGGGAGCGGTGTCCGGGGCAGCGGGGACCTGTTCTTCGGTCCCTGGCAAAAGAATCTGCTCCCTGGGGTCTGACGATTAGGTGCCGTATTGGCTCGGAAGCTCCACTGTGTTGCCTCCTGCAGAGGCAGTTCGGCTTCCAGAGCCGGACGCGGAGTGCTCGGACACAGCTTGCAGACCTCGGGTGGCACAGGGGAGCGCCCTGATGTAAGAGACCCTAAATGGATGGGGGATGCTTTAACCTGGCCACCAGTAAAACCACACTTAATGCTATGGAAAACGTGCTTCTGAGTTCTCACATCAGCCCTCAAATTTCGTTTAAATTGCCCTGCCTTTCCAGCACCACTTCTTCTCACTAAAACGCTGTAAATATTCCACTGTTTTCTTGGTCTCTTTTTCTAAAATCCCCCTCCAGTTTCTTTAAAAGCCTTCCTCTGTGTCTGTCTCCCAGGCAAGTGTTTTCGAGGCTTTCGGAAATAGGGAAACGGATTTTTTTTTTTTTTTTGAGACATTCTTTCGCTGGGGGAAGGACACACAGCCGGGGGACCCGTTGGAAACACATGTGGCCTCCTACCAGTCCCCGCTCCTCTTTCAGTACCGCTGTCGACTCCCTCCAAGCCCCTGCCTCGGTCGCTCCCTTCTTCCCACTGCTCCTGCCCCGGCATGGCTCCCCGCGGAGCGCGGGAGCCTGCAGTGCCGGGGTGGGGGACACACGACATCCCGTGCGTCCGGCGCCAAGCCTGCGGCGATTGACCTGTCAAGGAGGTGTACCGGAGGGGAGGGGAAAGGAACGGAGAGGAAGGGGATGAGGGCTGTAGCGCAGGTGATGGAGACTCACAAAGCGTGTTCCTCGGCCTAGACATCAGGCTTAGCTTTCCCGAGATTTAGCGAAGAAATGGCTTCTTTCCCGCTTTTCATCCGAAATCCGTTTCCGTGCGTGTGAACCTCGGCGCGCTGCTGTCAGTCAGCGCTTTAGGCCGTAGAGGGAGGGCTGAAGCGCTCCGCCGTACCGTGCGGATGTGGGCACCTTGGATTCACTTTGGGAGCAAAAGGCAGCGTCTTTCCCCCAACACTCCCGCGTGTGCCCCCTTCACTTGTGTCCAGCCCCATAGTAAAAAATCATTTACGATTCGTAAAAAAAATCTCAATTCGTTTACGAAAAATCTCACTCTTCTCCCCGCGCTGCCCTAAGCAGCTCTGCGCCTTCAGGGAGCAGGGGAGAAACACCGGACAAAAAAATAATTCCTTCCTGAAAATTGGTGTGTCTTCTCTCCCACTTTTCCACCGTGACTCGGTCCATGTTAATTTTCTCCCGTACTTCATAATTATTTATATTTTATTTTGAACTTGTATTCGATCCTCGGGATCGAATAAACCCCCTCGGCTTTCCCCCCTGTATTTTCCCTATACAGTGTTTTGCCTGGCTTCACCTATTTTTCCGGGGTCCCATCAGTTAATAAAAACACACGCTTCCGCCACCTTCTCAAAAGCAGCGCTTGTTGCTTTTCACTGAGAGCCCCCCCGCGCCACGCGTGACCGAGGGGCGTGGGAGCAGTTGCAGACCCGCCTCAGCCGGGAGGATTTCAGAGCAGAGTGAACAGGAGAGCAAGAAATAAAATGCTGAATATCATTCAGGCAAACGGCCGGGATCTGTACCTAGCGGGTTTGTTCTGGCTGTAGCCAAAGGGACAAAAAGAAGCGGGAAAGGGGGAAAATTTATTTATATATAAAAAATCCTCCTTCCCAAAGAGAAGGCGCTCCCACTACCCGTGTTTGTCTGGGTCTCTCTGCCAGCCCACGCCGGCCGCTCAGCCCCGCCGTTCCACGGACACGCATCGTTTTGAAGTGAAATTTCAACCCCCTCGAGACGTTGCTTCTGCCGGGTCAACACCGATTCCACCGGCAAGCGCAAGTAATACATGGCATAAATGACTTTTAAAAACACCCCCTCATCCGGCACCACTGGGTGGTAAAGCCCCTCTCGGGTACTTTGCGTGGGGATTAGCCAGCAGCAGTCTCTGGGAAATCTGGGTGCGGCGGAGAGAAGTGCGGGAGTTGTTACCTCTCTGCATTTAGAGTTATGGGTTTCCTACTGGCTCCCCGTTCTTCAAACAGTTAATTCTCCCGGCCGGTGCTCCAGGACTCAGATGGCCAAAATTCCTCTCCCTGAAGCCCGAGTCTCCCTTCCCTCCCCATTGGGTCGCAGCTTTTGGGTCTCTTCCGAGCTCTCCCTCCTATTGGCCAGGGACAGGTTTTTTTTTTTTTTTTTTCCTTTCTTTTTTTTTTTTTTTCCTTGACAGGCGCACACAGCCTGCCTAACTCTTGGAGAAAAAAAAATCCCAGAAGTTTGGATCAATCAGAGAGAGACAGAAGGAAAGGGGAGAAGGAAAAAAAAAAAAAGAAATCCAGCCTGCAGCCCCTCTGAGCAAGTGCTGGGACCTGGGCTGAGCACACCCTCCCGGCTCTGCCTGCGGAGTATCTGCAGCCTCATGTAGTGCTTTCAGGAGACTGAGGGCTGGTTCTTCTGGGGGTGCAGCTGGGGAGGGGTGGGGGGGGGAAAAGAGGCAAGAGGCTCTGCCTCTGGTCCCCGAGCTGTGCGCTCCCAGCCACTGGTCGCTCCTCTGCCCAAGGGCCTGGGCTGGGGGATAAGATGAGTGAGAGGCGAAGATCGGCGGTGGCCCTCAGCTCCCGAGCGCACGCTTTCTCGGTAGAAGCCTTGATCGGGACAAATAAAAAGAGGAAACTGCGAGACTGGGAGGACAAGGGGCTGGATTTGTCCATGGAAAGCCTCAGCCCCAATGGCCAGCTGGGGGACAATGAAGACCCGACTCAGTGCCTGGACCTCAACCCCGGTTAGTGCGACTCCTTTCTCTTCGGGACTCCCCCGCCCGCCCCGCTCCCTCCCCGCCACTAGCCGCTCGCTGCCCGCCGGGAGAGCTGTGCCCAGCAGCGTGTCCCGGAAAACATCCGGGACTGGGGGTAGAGGAAAAGGAAGCAGGATTTTTGCGGAGATTTCTTGGATTTTTTTCCTTTCAGTTTACGGGGACTTTTCTCCTACTCGCTGCGTCTCTTTTCCCCCCACAGCTCCATGATATCCCGGGAGGGGCAGCGTGCCGACTCCGCTTTCTCTTTCTCCCCCTCTCCTCCCTCTCCACGCCTGTCGGTCGCGATAGTCCTTCACGAGTGTCTCGGGACACGCGGTATTCCTTGTTCCGGAGTTTCCCGGCCTCCGATCGCGGAATTGCCGGGTGGGTCGGGGGCAAAGGAGTGGGGTGCGACATGCACCCATCTCCTCTTTCCGAGTTACCAGCCAAACCCCCGAGTCTGTTTCGTGGAGACCGTGCGCCCTAACCGGAGGTTTCGGTGGAGGAGGAGTCCAGGATCAGCCCTGCGCCGAGGCGAGGGTCGCTGGCTCCTCAGAGCGACGGGGACCCGCTACACACCCCTGCGGCGAGCTCCCACCCGAAGCCTCCCCGGGCTGGGCCGGGCCCGGCAGCGAGTGGCTGGGGGCCTGATCCTTCTCCCGGGATCGGGCCCGCTGGGGCTCAGCGGCGCGGCCTCGCTCCGCTCCCGGGACGGAGCGCACAAGCCACAGCGGAGGCCTGGGGAGACGGCGGAGGGGGTCCTACCCTCTCCTCCCTCTCCTACTGCTCCTGGCAGAGAAAAGGGCCTCAGTGGGTGAGAGGGACTCCGAGGAGTCCGGCCCGGGGGACCGGGGCGCATGGAGCAGCACCGGGGCCGCGGTCCCTCGGCCGGCAGCACAGGGTTAGGGAAGAGGGAGAACAACACTTCCCTCCTGGTGTCTGTACTTTTAATTTTAAACTCTCGTTCATTTATTTTTATTTAAAGGAGATCCAGTAGCTCGGAGCTATTATTTGGCTCCGGCGAAACCCCCGGTCTCCTCTTTTCCCTCCGGTCTTTTCTCTCCGGCCTAAACCGACGGTGCTGCAAAAGCAGCCGCGAACCCGGGACTACCCCGGGGGTGAAAACGCGCCAGGCCTCGTGCCCCCCACCCCCACTGCTCCCACGCCCTTCGCGCCGTCCCCACGCCACGCTCCCCAGCGCCTTAAAAAGGGACGCAGAGACCGATCCCGCGCTTATAATTGTAGTGTGGGGAGAAAACGAATTTTAGGGGATTTCACTTCGCTTTTAATATTGGGATGGGGGAAAAAGGTCAAGCGATTTCTTTGAGCGACACTGTGAGAAAAAGTGCAGAAATTTCCTCCAATTGTGCCAAGTCCGCTCCGCCGCACTTGGAGAAGAAAACACCTTTTAAAAATTATTTTTCTTTATTTTACATGACGTTCCCTGAGCTATCAGTAAGCATCAGCTCAAGACCCAGAATAAGAAAAAAAAAAAACAAAACAAAACAAAAACAAACAAACAAACATACAAAAAGGAGGAGGAAAAAAAGATAAAGAAAGATCGAGGTGTCAAAAATATTTGCTGTAAAAAAAATATTTAAAGTGTTTTTGAGCGGAGCTAAAGACCGGGAACTCCGAAGACCTCGCCCAGCTACGCTCTCAAGGAACCGCACTTCAATTTACTTTGAATAGCAGCAGCCCTTCCCGGTGCGGATCCTAAGGAGAAGTAGGTAAAATCTGCTGCCAGGGACGTCTCTTCCAGCGAAGGGACGTGAGTAAAGAAGAGGGGACAGCAGCGATCAACCAGTAAAAGGATAGCTCAGGTTTTCAGGGACTTCCCTGTTCAAAAGAAAAAATACGCGAACAAAACAAAAAATCCAATGTCTATTAACAGAGCAGATCTGTGCGTCAGTCTTCTCTTTTTAGAACTGTTTTTCTTATTTTTTTAGCAGCAATAGGATATATTTTTGTGTAGTCTAAAAGTTTAACTTGCCCATTTCTCCACGAATTCGAAATGGAAAATTGGAAAACTCCCTCTGTGCCAGATTGGAGAGCGGGACAGAATGACTGCTAGTGCCTGAAACCTCAGAATGCAAACGTGATGTTTTTCATAAAGCAAAGGAAATCAAGAACAGTTTGAGAAATAATTTTTAGGAGGTTGATAGACTTTAAATAAAGTCCACGACTGTAATTTGCACAGTCACTTCATTAAACCTAATTCCTCCGAGGTGTACCTTTGCTCCTGGGTGAAAATTGATTAGCGGCTCTATAATGACCACCAAATTCCATCTTTACAAGACCTAATTAAGAACAAACTTTACACCTAAAGTATTTTAAACTTGCCAAATCTCCAGCGATATAGAAAAAAAAAAAAAAAAAAAAAAAAAAATTAGAAGGGGGAATTTTTATAGTGTCCCAAAGGTTCAACAGTCAAAGCCGCTGCCCCGAGTAGCGATGGGCTGTTCCTTCTGCTGGAGGGATTCTTGGTACGGTGTACTCACGGAGGGGCCGTAAGTAGTACAGTACGAGCTGGGAAATTGTGTGTTGATTTTGCGTGTGATAACGTAAATCGGGCTAGCCCCATTTATCGATCTTTTCGCTTAAAGTTCCTCCATTTCAGCTCAGGAGGATCTGAAAATCATTCTCCGCGGGGAACTAAACATGGCCAAGGGCAGAGTAAGGCTTCGCTCTCCTTTTTACAGATCTTTTCCGTGCAGGCAGGTATCAGGATTTCTTTCTCTCCCACGCACTGGCGTGGATTTTCCTCTCCATCCTCCAGGGGTGGGAGTAAGGTGGGGGTGTCGGCGGTGTGGCCCCATTCCACTCTCGGCGTTGGGGCTTCACCGCCTTCGGTGCGGCTTTGTGCTGGACGTGTACAAACTGCAGCCCTGGGGGTGCGTGGGACCCAGGGCTCCTCATCTCCCCGTTTTAGCGGAATCCTCGACCCCTTATGTGCCATTTTACAGCCGTGCCCAAACACTTCGATGATGATATTGGCGACACTGAGTCGCCCCGAGAGACCTCCCCGCGCTCCGGGGCCGCATCTTCCCGGGAGAAGCGAGATGGCAGGCTGGGAGGTGGCGGGTTGAGTGTGAAAAGCAAGCGGATAAATCCCCCAAGTTTATAAAAAATATCTCCTGAATATCCAAGTTATTTATGTCTCAGCCATGAATCTTGTCGCCAGAGTTAATGCGGTTTTTTACGACTCACTTAAAAGGGGGATAAATCTGGATTTTAATTACGTGCGGGTTCTAATCACGACGTTGTGAAAAGGAATTCGGGATTACAAGCAGCTCTCACCGTCTCTCCCCCAACCCCGTCCACCTGGGGCGCGCCGGGCGTGGGGCCGCGGCCGGGCCGGCGGGAGGCAGGGCTCGCCCCGGGGCTCGGTGAAGACTTCCCAGCTGCTGCCCCGCTATCGGGCTGGGCCGGGCTCCCGGCATCCTCCACCGGTCCTCGGTTCTCGCCGCGGAGAGGCGAAAGAAGCCGGAGAGTGGAGGGGCGCCCCTCCGTCCCCTTGGCAGGTTTGGTTTCAGAGGGCAGCAAAACAATGGGCTCGGGTGTCTTCTGGGTATTTATAGACTTAACCTGAGCAGCGGAAAGGTCACGGGGGGCCCGGGCGTTGCCTCCCTTGATGTCTATATTGTTTACCGTCGTTTACGGCGGTGGCATTCGTCGGCCCTTCCCTCCGCCGCGCTAAGGGCCCAGGGACAGACCGAGGCAGAGCCGAGCGCGCTCCTTTCCCTGTGGGCGCGTTTCCCCCAACAGAAGCCCGGCTGCTCCCCTAGGGGGTCGGGGTCGCTTCGCTGTGAGAGGAGAGCAGGCGCTTCAGAGGCAGAACAAAACGGTGCGACTAAAAAGATGGAATTTTTCGGCTTTGGGACGGTCCTTTTCCTCGCAAAGAAACACGCGAGTCAAGTTTGTAAACGAATTTTGGCAGTGCAGTCCTTGTATCACACATCCTATCGGCATTTTTGATTGCATAAATTAAAAGTGGCCATATCACTTAAAAAAATCCCAAACCACCTGAAAACAAACTAACAAACACCCAAACAACAAACTAAACCAAAAGAAAACAAGGCATTGTTGGGAGTTTAATTTTTCGTTCCCTATGTTTATCTGAATCTACATTAGGGAACTATTGCGAGGTTTTGCAACGAGAGAAAACAATAAGGCACGCATTTTAAGACCTACAACGTGTTTATTACAGCTGCTTATCCATAAGATTAAGATCCGAGAGCTTGACAAAGCCTTCTGTGGCTGTCAAGAGTAAAGCCTCCATCTCTTTTACTGAGGCACGTTCTCCTGCCTCTCCCGGCAGGTTGCTCGGGTGTCCATCCCAATCCCGCTCCGCCGCGGGGCTCCTGCTCCTCCTCGCCCCCGGGCAAACCCCCTCCAACGGCGGGAGTGCGGAAACCACGCAGTCCGTCCACCTTCCGGAGAGGCAAACAGATTTTAACAGCAGGAGAAATGCGATTGATCATATGTGACCTGTCTTTATTTTTTTGTTCAATACCCCTACTTCTGAACGCTCATATTGATGAAGTCCCGTTCTTTGAGCAGTGGCTGTTACAGCCGCGAATAGGGAGCGACCTAACTTGATTTTTCGCTTCAGCTTTTGTTTGGGTGCTCGGTGGATGGGACTAGGATTTCAAGTGCTGGCAGAGAACGTTTTCTCGTCTCTTCCCTGAGGTAGGGCGCACTGGTTTACATCGCCCTTTGCATGGTCCTCAAGGCTCGCCAATGAGCAATGCTCTGTAACAACGAGGTGTAAGAGAGTGTGTCAGCTTTGGCTTGGGACTGGGAGTTATGGATGCGAAGTCTTTCTAACAAATTTGTGTGTGACTGGGATCGTATGAATTCATTTCACCTGTTGAATCATCAGTTTTCCTCTTTAAGAGAGGATATGGAGCTCAGATCCATTGGTCCCTTGTGTACATGATGGAAGGAAATGCAAAAATCTGACCCTCCTAATGCCTCTGCTCCCC